TGTGGGTGGACTCGGGGCAGGTGGGGATGGGAACAGGAGGGAGAGAGTATTGGGAGTGATGATTGGAATTGGGAGACAATTGCAGGATGATGTAGAAACCTAATGCAGTGGAAACTCCCTGGAATCTATGAGAGTGACCCTAGTGAAGCCTTCTAGTAATGGGGGATACAGAGCCTGAACCATGCATCTTCTGTAACCAGGCAAGGCTCCCAGCAGTGGGACTGGGACATCAACCCAGCCTCAAAAGACCTACAACCTGTCCTGCCTGCAAGATGAGCTGGGATCGTGGTGGCACAGAGCTGTGGGAGTATCTAACCAATGTCTGGTCCAACTTAAGGCCCACACCTGTCACTGCCTGGTTGGCGGGAACCATAAGCTGGACAGCCCACAGACCCAGGATAGAACCAAACACTACTGCCAAAAGAAGAAGGAGGAGGAGGAGGAGGAGGAGGAGGAGGAGGAGGAGGAGGAGAAAAGAGAAAGAAAGAAGTCAGTGAAATGATTCCTAATGATATTCTGCCATACTCATAGATCAATGCCTAGCCCAGTTGTCATCAGAGAGGCTTCATCCAGCAACTGACAGGAGCAGATGCACAAACCCACATCCAAACACTAGGTGGAGCCAGGAGAACCCCACAGAAGAGGGGGAGAAAGATTATGAAAGCCAGAGGGTTTGAAGACACCACAAGAACATGGCCCACAGAATCAATTAATCAGGGTTCATTAAGACCAAAGTAATAATGGTGGAGCCCGCATGGGTCTGTGTTAGGCCCTCTGCATATACATTATAGTTTTGCAGCTTGGTGTTCTTGTAGGACTCCTAACAGTGGGGGTGGGGTGTCTCTGACTCTTTTGCCTGCTCTTGGGATCCTTTTCCTCCTACTGGATTGCCTCGTCCAGCCTTGATATGAGGGTTTGTGCCCAGTCTTATTGTAACATGTGATGAGCCATGTTCGGTTGATAAGCCTGGGAGGGCTGCTTTTTTTTTAAGGGAAACTGAGGAGGAGTGGACCTAAGGGAGAGGGGAAGTGGAAGGAAGGACTTTGGGGAGTGGAGGGGAGACATTATTTTGTTTTTTAATTACATGTTTACGTGTGTCTCTGTGTACTAGCATGCACAGGTGCCCATGGAACAGCAGAAGACAGCTGGATCCTCTGGAGCTGGAATTACAGATAGTTGTGAGCTGCCCGATGTGGGTGTTGGGAACTGAGCTCAAGTCCTTGGAGAGAGCTGTTAACCACTGAGCCATCTCTCCAGCCCCACTCTTTCTAACTTTTAATAAAGATTATCTAGGCTTTGATTTAAAGAATCAATATAGAAGTGCTTCAGAGGACAATGGGAAGGCATAGCTCCTGGTAATCCTCATTCTGATCTCCTCTAGGGACCACTAAGGCTAATCCTTTCCCCAAGGTTGGTGCCCAGCTAATGAATGCTTGGGCATTAGACAGAGGAAGACCCAAGGCTGGCTTAAAAGGGGCCAAAGGTTGCTCTCAGTAAATCCAGAAAGGCACTTTCTAATGTCTTCTCCAAGTAGAATAGACAAGCTTAGTGCTGTGCCTCTGATGTGGGTGTCACCTTTAGCAGTAATGTAGACAACAGACAGGACATAATGCAGGGCTTCCACCCTGGGCAAAATGCCCCTCAATGAGGAGGTCCCTTTGCCCCATGGGCTAAGAAATGCCATGTGCTGAATATCCTTTTTTGGAGAGCCACACACCCATTCTGTTCAAGGCTCCCAGTCTTCTGGTAAACAAACTGGCTAAATGTCACTCAAGCTAGTACTTCCCAAATAAAGCCTAAAAGCTTTATTTTCAGCAACACTATCATCCCGGGAACTCTGTGTTCCAGAGCATAGACTTCCAAAAATGCCCACCATAAATATAACTAACTCAGCTATAGCATGACTTGCTGCCTGCTTGAATGACCTGAGCCTGGGGGCCTCCAAACCAAAAATACCTTCCTCCCAAGTTCCCCTTTGGCAGTGAGTTCTACAGTTTCTTGCTCTAAAGCCCTTCTAAGGGATATGTAGTTATAATGGGGTTAGGCATTATGTCAGCTAGAAGGAATAACTCATTAGCTAGCTAAACATTAGCAATAATTAGTTTATCTAAATAGCCACTTACCACCCATTGATTCCGAATGGAGAATGAGTCCCCAAGGAATGGCCTCCATGAGCAGAGTGGGATAAAAAGGGTCTTGGGCACAGAATGCTGGCTTGGCCTGTGCAGTTGTTTAGTGGATTAATATGATTCCAACCTTTGCTCTAGTAATGACCCCTTGTCTTTCTTCACTTCTCTGTATCCTCAGTTTTAAAAAACATTGTCTGCTATGGATATCGCTCTGTATGCTGTGAATGTGTTGCTCTGATTGGTTAATAAATAAAGTGCTGATTGGCCAGTAGCCAGGCAGGAAGTATAGGCGGGACAAAGAGAGAGGAGAATGCTGGGAACAGGAAGGCTGAGTCAGGAGATGCTGCCAGCCACCACTATGAGAAGCAAGATGTAAAGGTACTGGTAAGCCATGAGCCACACAGCAAGGTATAGATTTATAGAAATGAGTTAATTTAAGATATAAGATCTAACTAGGAAGAAGCCTGAGCCATTAGGCCATACAGTTTTAATTCATATAAGTCTCTTTGTGTTTATTTGGGTCTGAGTGGCTGTGGGCCCGGGCAGGACTGGAGAAAATTCCAGCTACAATTGTCTTTCTTGCTGACTGGAAATATGGTTCAGTGGGTAAGAGTACTTGTTGCTTCACAAGCACAGGCCTGAGTTCAAATTCCCAGTGCCCACTAAAAAAGACAGATATGGCCACATGCTTTCCTATAACCCTGGTACTGGCGGAGGAGGAGGAAGGGAAGCAGAGGCAGGAGGATTGCCGGGACTTGCTGGCCAACAGCCTACCTCTAGGTCCAGTGAAAGATCCTGTCTAAACAGAGTAAGGCAGAAACTAACAGACCAGAACACCTGATGTCCTTCCTTTAGCCTCTGTACATGTTCTGGTGTGGACATATGTGCATATATATCACGCACACACAAAGAAAGCGTGGTCTCTCAGCTCTGTTTGTAGCCTTTCTCCCATCTGTGTCCACCTGTCCTTCACCATTGTCAGACAACGCTTCCCCCTATTCCAGCCATTGGCATTCTGGAAAGAGCCTCCATGATCTTCTGAAATTCCTTTTTTTTTTTTTGTTCGTAATGGTTAGCTTAAGAGTGGGTCCTGGGCAGGGCGGTGGTGGCGCACGCCTTTAATCCCAGCACTTGGGAGGCAGAGCCAGGCGGATCTCTGTGAGTTCAAGGCCAGTCTGGTCTACAGAGTGAGATCCAGGACAGGCACCAAAACTACGGAGAAACCCTGTCTCAGGAAAAAAAAAAAAAAAAAAAAGAGTGGGTCCTGGACCAACCTCAGTCATCAAGAACTTCCCTGGAAGTTTTAGCATTGGTATTAGAGTGAGCAAGTCCAGTCCAGGACAAGGAGGGTTATGGGAGGAGGTGTTTACCAAAACTGTTGGTTTTGAATCTGAAAGCTGCCAGCAGCCATTTGTCCAAACACAAGGAGAAAGCTTTAATTAGAATGTGTTCTCCAAAGTTCATAGGCTGGGAACTTTATCCCCAAATGGTTATGTTAGGAGGTGGGAACTTGAGAGACACCACACTTAGCATTAGATTAATGCCATTATTAAAAAGAGTGAATGCCTCATTTTAAAAAAAAAAAAAGTGGTTTTTTTGTTTTGTTTTGTTTTTTGTTTTTTTTTGGGGGGGAGGGGGTTGGCTGGAGAGATGGCTCAGTGGTTAAGAGCACCGACTGTTCTTCCAGAGGACCCAGGTTCAATTCCCAGCACCCACATGGCAGCTCAAAACTGTAACTCCAATTCTAGGGGATCTGACTCCCTCACACAGACATACATGTAGGCAAAACACCAATACACATAAAATAAAATAAAGAAATATTTTTTTAAAAGATGGGTTTGTTTTCTCTCTCTCTCTCTCTCTCTCTCTCTCTCTCTCTCTCTCTCTCTCTCTCTCTCTCTCGTTCTTCAGCCATAGGATATCTTCTACCATTGGATAATATCACAAGAAGCAAGAAGGCTCCCACCAGATGGAACCCTTCCCAAATCTGGAATGTTGTTCATCATGACTTCCCATTCTGCGGTATTATGCTACAACAGCATAAGTCTTTGACCATAACTACTGACGTTCGAGGTGAGGTTCAGGGAGGCTGTCCTATGTCACAAAGGACAGTGTGTTAGTTACTTTTCTGTCACTGTCGTAAAACACCATGACCAAGACAATTATAGAAGGAAGAGTTTGTGTGGGCTTATGATTCCAGAGGGATAAGGGCCCACTGTGGCAGGGAAGTGTGGCCGAAAATCGTATTGCAACCAGAGCAGGAAACTGAGAAATTACCATCTCAACCACAAACAGGAAGCAGAGAGAGTAAACTGGAAGTTGAGTATGGCTATGAAATCTCACACACACATACCCATCCCCCAGTGATATACTTCCTCCAGGAAGGGCACACCTCCTCAACCTCCCCAAAAACCACAAACTACTGGAGACCAAATGTTCAAATGCAGGAGCCTATGGGGTGGAGCATTTCTCATTTAAATCACCACAGATGGTTAGCCTTGTCTTTGGCCTCTGTGCGCTTGAGGCCAAGAGCCTCCTCCCCTCCGGTTGCGACAAACACAAATCTCTCCAAATGCTGTCAGTGCCTAGGAAAGGGGCCAAAAATCCCTCCCCATCGCCAGGTGAGGAGTCCTAGTCTACACTAGGGCTAGACAGGGGAGGAGAGAGTGTCCTGGTGTCATTTAAGGCCTTGGTGCTAGCTGTCCCTGAGGCTGAGCACACTTCAGTCTTCCAGTGGATTGATTTCATGAGCCAATTAGCTCTACTGCTTTCCTCTAAGCCGGTTGAAGTTAAATTTCTTAGTTGCTCACAAGAGTACTCTGTTAATCTATAATTTCCATTAGGATTTCTGACGAATTGCAAATAGCTCACCTTCTGCTTGGCGCCTCTTCCCCTCCCGATCCCTCAGCAGGTCCACGATTACCTGTGTAGACCCCGTGAGCCAATTTCCTGTCCTGCAAGAGAACCGTGAGGCATTGAATGGAGACTGGGGAAGCTGAGCTGAGTCTGGAGAGCTGTCTAGTGAGCGGGCTCTCCCTCCCCACTTCCCCTCCCCCTCCCCCACCGGGGCAAACCACAAAGAGCAAGCAGCTGTTTTCCTGCCAAGCATCGGAAGCTGATGGTACACAAATCAGTGTTCTCTGGTTTTGTTTTGCTTTTTTTTTTAAATGGGCTTTGTTTTATTTTGAAGACAAAGTCTTACTATGTAGCCCAGATTGGCTCCATACTTAATATGTAACCTAGGACGGCCTTGCATTCTGAGTCCTCCCGATCTGTGTCGTGAGTGGGCTGAGAGCACAGCTGTGTACTGCTGGTCCTGATTGAAGGGGACGTGGGGTAACTGGGAAAGGGGAAAATGGTTTTTTCTTAATGGTGGTGACAGACTAAGGAATAAATGAAACAGAAAATTGATGTTTCAAGGTCACAAGAAGACTATTTGAACATATATATATACACATATATACATATATATATACATATACATATGTATATATATATATATGTATGTGTATATATATAGTGATTTTTACCCCCAGGAGCCATTGCCTTTGCAATATCTGGAAACCTCTCTCTCTCTCTCTCTCTCTCTCTCTCACACACACACACACACACACACACACACACACACACACACACACACACACACACACAGAGCAGCAGCACTCAGTGCCTTGCAAGGAAAGCTTTCCTAGCTCAACTTCTTCAGACCTTTAGAGTTGGAGCTGGTGGCCTAGGGCAGGGCCCTCAGACTGGATCCACCAGGTCAGCCGTGAGGTTCACAAAGCAGAGCAAAACTGGGATACTTCCATGCCAGCAGGTGAGCAGGTTTCCTCCCGAGCCTCTGCTAATCCATCTCCTCCTTGCACCACCCTGGAGAGCCTGCTGCTCCAGGAACTAAAGGGTTAGTGCTTTATGTGAGGCAGCCCTATAACCCTGCTTCGGAGCAAGCACGCTGCTTCTTTTCTGACTGGCTAGTGCTGGTCCTTGGCTGGTTAGTAAGTGTCCTGAGTATCACACCTGTAAAGAGAAGCCAACTCCTGAGGGAAGGGTGGGGAGGATGTTGAGGACGAGGCTGTTTTAATCCTGCTCTGGAGTGGTTCCACCTTGCTTCAATTCCTTCCGGGTATGTTCATTCTAGAAGCACTTTGGGTATGTACTCCTCAGTGAAGCAGCCTCAGGATGTTGGCTTATGTCCTGACTTAGAGTAAGCTCACCCAACTCCTTGTCCACATCCAGGCTTTGCTGTGACTCACTGGGCCACCAGGGCCACATGTGTACCAGGGGACTCATGCAATCAAGTACAGCTAAATTTAGACCAGAGAGGGGATGTTATAGCTATTTCCTTGCGTTGCTCTTACTCTGCCTAATTTAGGCAAAGCAGAGCTTTGCCAGTATCCCTCCTTAATTCAACGGATGTTTAGGTCAAGGAGAAATGAACCAACCATTTTAAATCCACTGCTCTTGAGAAGGCAGAGGAGGTGGCTGTGGATAATGGTGAGCAAAGTTCACTTGGACCAAAATAGAAGACAGACCAGAAAATGACCCTTCCATAAATACCTTCTCTCCTTCCTGAATCTTGCACACTATGGCCCTGTCCCTCTGCTGTCCTGTGCTCTATTAAAGCAGGATCTTGTGTTCATTTCACAGTCAACCATTAGCTGATAAGGCTTAACAACTCCCAGTAGGTATTTGCATTTTAATAGAGAATTGTTGAGAACTGAAAAGCTTGCAGGGTCCACAAGAACAAAGCAAAGAACTGGAGGCTTGTGGGGGTGATGTTTGGGAGAGCAGAAAGTTGAGCAGGTCATTCTCAAGTTTTGCCATGTTTATTTCATTCCCTCTCCAAGGGCCACCAATTGCCTGGACCCTCTGACACTCTGCCTCTTGTACTCTAGTTCAGTCCCCTCTCACAGGATGCATTTGCTGGCTGTGACTCATTTGCACATGTGCAGAAAGAAAATGTTGACTTTGATCAGAACTTTGAGCAGGGTGAAGAGGGTGAATTGGGAAATATATGGATGGGGAGCTTAAGTTGGGATATGGCAACCAAAATAGAAGAGGTAAGAACCAATAAGAAAAAAAATAGATGCATAGAGAATATAGAGATGGACGGCTAAGCCCCAAAAGAAAGGTCAATTGACTTTTAAAATAGGAATGTTGTTCTAGTTTGCTTTTCAGCTGCTGTGATAAACACCATGACCAAAAGCAACTTGGAGAGGACAAAGTTCATTTGGCTTATACATCCAGGCCAAAATCCCTAACTGAGGGAAGTTGGAGCATGAGCTAGGAGACAGGAACCAGGGAGAGAATCCTATTTGCTGGCTTGCTCTCTGACTCACATTCAAGCTAGCTTTCTTATACAGCTGCAGCATCCTGCCTAAGGATGGTGCTACCCACAGTGACCTGGGCTTTCCCACACCAGTCATCGATCAAGACAACCTCTCAAGGACATGGCCACTGATTGAAGCAACTGTTCAATTGAGGCTCCCTCTTCCTAGATGACTCTAGGTTGTGTCAAATTGAAAATAAAAATTAACTAGAACAGATACTTAATTTTACATTTGGATGTATGTAATTTGCTAAGTCCAAAGCTGCTCACTGCTACCAATTGGGTGTGGTTGTTCCCCACACTTTCACACACTGGAGAGTTATCCTCAGTATAACAATATGAGAAGAGGTTATCTAGGGCTGAAGAGATGGCTCAATGGATTAAGAGCACTGGAGTTCAGCTCCCAGCATCTACATCGGATGACTCACCTGTAACTTAGCACTAGGAGATCTGATACTCTCTTCTGGATATGTGGTGAACACACCACACACACACACACACACACACACACACACACACACACACACACGCTGTGGAATATTAGTTTAAGATGGGTTACATTTGTTTATGCTGTGGAATATTTGTTTAATAATACAAAGATGTATTACATTCTTTTATGTTGCCTTTGACTCTGTAAAGCTGTGAGAAGAGATGGGGAAGAGAGACTGAGAAACCATGTGTCTGTTTTCTGGGGTGAAGTTTAAATACCATGTGGGAACGGTCTTGAGCATCTTTGGGGGGAGGAGTGTTATTTGGTGGGCTTGAGACAGAGCAGGGTTTGGGGAGAGAGAAATGGGGGAGGGGAGTTGAGGTGGAACCTCCACCAGAACATTCCAGACTCTGGGTATATGGGTGCCAGGGGCTGAGTAGAGTTTCCATCAGAACAGGAGGATTGAGGAGCAAGAAAAGGAGAAGGAGAGGAGGACATCAGGGGCCAGCCATCCAGCCACACAACCAGCCATGGAGTAAGAAGGAAAGAAAGGTATACAGAATACAGAAAGATAAAAGCCCAGAAGCAAAATATAGAAGAAGAGAAACAGGTTAATTTAAGAAAAGCTGGCTAGAAATAAGCCAAGCTAAGGCTGGGCATTCATAAGTAAGAATAAGCCTCTGTGTATTTATTTGGGAACGAGGTGGTGGGTCCCCAAAGAGTAAAGAGAAAAAAAAACAAAAAACCTACACACACACATACACATAATTAAAAGGAGTAAAATAAATCTCTAAGAAGAAAAGAGGTGGGGCCTAATAAAAGGTGACTGTGTCGTTAAGGATGTTACCTGTAGGAGGGGTTTAGTGTACTTCTCATGGGATGCCCGATTTCTTCCCTCAAACATGGATTGTTATAAAAGGAACAGGACTAGCCCGTTTCCGGCCCTCTTTAGCCAGGATTATATCTGTATGTCGAGACCCAACCCAAGGTTTTAAGAGAACCTAGTTTGATTGGGTCAACTAATCACGGCCAAACAACCCTCTTTTCTTTTAAAGTACTAACTTAGGGTGTTTTCTTATAGCAACAGAAAATGGATTAATACTTCCCGCTTGCTCTACAATCTCAGCAATTTAAACCTTTTCCAAGAGCTGAGATAAATGTCTGTATCAGGCCAACTCTCGATGTTAACATGAGGAATACTGTGGCTGAAAGACTGTGGAACATAATCCAAACTTAATAAAAGTATTATTACACCTGCATAAGTATTATTCACACAAAGGAAATTTAGAAACAATCTTCAAAAAATGTCCCTCCCAAAAAAACTTCTACCATGAGCACCTCACCAGCCTCCTTCAGCTTGACCACCAACTTATGCATCCTCTCATAGTCTGACTTCTTATAGTAGCAGACCCAAGGAGAGCTTGAATGTCGGCTGCTTAACTGAATGACAAAGACAAGGCAGTGTGATGCATGATGTTAAGAAGCAGTTGCTCCTGGGAGTGATCTGGGCACTCATTCCCTTTGTGCATCTTCCAAGGATATTTGCAAGATGTGTTGTTTGCATTGGGAAAGCTAGGGGAGTGAGTGGGCTGCACCTGAACCACCTTAGCTGGGGGCACTACATCTGATGCTTGGAGGTTGTTAGTGTGACGAGTGCATCCTGGCACTGGGGACATCCTCAAGCAGAAGACCAGAGTCCTGTCGGGAAAGATGGCAGCACGTAGAAACTGTCAGTTGCAATCGTGATTTCAGAGGTGACTCACAGTACCCTTCGGAGCGAGGCAGCGTGGCCTCTGCAGCAGTTCCGCAATGGGAGCTCATCTCTAAGCCAAAACAGCGTTCAAATCTCGTCAAAGGATCCATCTTCCCTTTGTTGATAATGCTATACCCTTTTTGTCTGTATTGCCATTATTTTCTATGTGCACCTGTGTCTTGGTTGTATCATCTGCAGAATAGGGACAGTAATGGAGCCCACATAAGGTCTAAAAAATGGCTGCAATTTCTAACCCTTCTGGAATCATACCCGTCACAGTGTAAGTCTTGGAACTCCCCCCCGCCCCCCATCAAGAATCAAAAGCTGTGTCTGTATTCCTTCAGTTTGGGTTACCCTTGGAAACTTCCCTTGGCCAAACACAAATGCATCAGAAATGAGTATGCCTGATCAGTACACCTCAGCCTCCAAAGGTTCTATATGGCACCCTTGGAATGGCCCTCTTGGTCCCGCCCCTGCCAGGAGGACCAGTCAGCGCTAACCCGCTGGAG